TAACAGAGGAAGTATTTGAGTCAAATATACTAGGGAAGATTGTTGTAGTTCACTGCTCCAGGCTTACTGCCATAGTTGTACCTGGTCTAGTTAATGGAGCTTAACACAGACAGAACATATAGGCTTATGGAGCCTCAGAGAGGAGGTTGCTTTCTTTGCTTTCAGGGAGAAGAGAGTGGAGTTTGCAAAGGGGCAAATGAAACTATGTCTATAAAACTGTCAGAGACATATTACAAAATGGGCTGTGTCTATGCATGCCTCTAAATGCTCCAATGAACCTCTGAACACTGGTGCCCATGAGCAAATATTGAGCATCATTGTATCCTTGTTTCCTCTTTTACCTTAGAAATTCTAGTCTACAAGCCATCCCTAAACAATTCAATTTCAACTTTTTGTTAAGACTTTTCAGTAACCATAATGTTGTAGATATACCAGAAAATTCATCATGAAATTAATCTCAAGAAAATGGCTTTAATAAAGACTTACTTTCAGTTTCATTTCATGTGTGAGTTGATCCATACAAATATGAGTAAATTATGAAACAGATGACCTGTGAAGAAGACAATGTGTACATGCTCATGTATGCCTTAGAAATCCTCAGAAATGTGCCTGAAGATCATTTTGAAGTACTGAGAAAAGATGGGGGAGTACTTATTCCAACTCTGAAGCACTATATTAGAATATTGATATTAAAAATAGTGAGATTCAGACATTTTAGACTTAGGCCAAGAAATGTGTTGCAGTGTATTTAGCCATACCATTACATAAATGGTTCAGGGATTTAGTAGCCAACTAATGGAAACGTTTATTAACATTAAGGTGTTCTCAGTATTTCTGTTTGTTGAAATGAAATGTGAACTGAAATAGTACATCTTGTAGTATAGATACTGACTGGGCGGGGAGTGAATCTTGGTGCACATGTGAATGCTGAGAATTTAACCACCAAGATACAGGAGGGAGAAACAAACATCAGGGCTTGACGATAAGATGGGAATTGGATCACTCAATCAAAGAAATGAAAACACAAACTTGAGTTACTATTAGACTTACCGAGTGTTTCATTTTTTACTTCACATTGATGTTTCTATTATATCCAGCTCTGATTTAAGCTGAAGCAAGCATGTACGGTGGTGGTGAAGAGCAGGTCCATTGGCAGCCTGGGAGAGGGAGAAGAGCTATGTTGAAGGCAGACTGAGCCAGAGTCAGAAGTGGATTGGGAAACTGGAGAGAGGAAGTGGTGGCAAGAACTGTTTATGAAGGTATATAAGTCAGCATAGCATAGAGAAATTTGCTCACCCATGTTTACTTCAGAAACATTCAAGATATTGAAGTAGTTTCGATGCCTGTAAAAATTTTGGTTTTTTTTTTCTATAAAAGATACTTTTTTCAACAAGTGGTGCTGGTCAAAATTGATGACTGCATATAGAAGAATCCAAATAGATCCATATTTATCACCCTGCCTGGATCAATAACCTTAAAATAAGGCCAGATACATTGAATCTGATAGAAAAGAAAGTGGGGAATAGCCTTAATCTCATTGGCATGGGGAAGATGGCTGTATATATGAGCAGAACATGGATAGCACAGGCACTAAAACCAACAATTAATTGTATCTCAAGAAACTGATTAGCTCCTATATGGCAAAGGACACCATCATTCAGAAAAGAGACATTACAGTATGGGAAAAGATTTTAACCAACCCCTCATTGGACAGAGGGGCTGTCTTAGGATTTCTATTGCTGTGAAGAAATACTATGACCATGGCAACTCTTACAAAGGAAAATATTTAATTCAAGTGGTGACTTTCATTACAGAGGTTTAATACATTATGGTGAGAAACATGGTGTTGTCTGTATCGATCAAAGACAACAGGAAGTGGACTGTGACCCTATGAGTGCCTGGAACATAGGAGACCTCAAATTCCATACCCACAGTGACACACTTCCTCCAAGAAGGCTAAACCTACTCCAATAAAGCCATACCTCCTAATAGTGCTGTTCTTTTTCTGGGCCATCTTTCAAACCATTACAAGGGCTAATACTCATAATATTGCTGCCATGAAGACCAGTCTTTAGCAGCTCAGGGGCTAAGGGGGATCCACAGAGTTGGGAAACTAATTTCTCAACTTGTCTTTTTTTATATGAGGGAGTAAAACTTAGCTTTCTAGGGGCATTGACAAAGGAAAACACGCACGCACACATACATCAACATTTCAGAATCTCATCTAGGGTGCTAATGAATGGCATGCCTTCAGCCAGTCAGAGAAACAGAAGAGGAGATACAAAGTAGGCAAACTCCTGAATAGACACACAAGGACTTTTCTAAAGGACAAAGCTTAGTTCTTGAAGGTGTAAGTCATAAACAATGCCACACCAGTTTGGAATTATGATTAATAGGGTGGTATTTATTTAAAGGGGAAAAAACTTACAGATCACCGTCAGCCCTCTGCGCAACCAGGAAGGGAGTCTAGTTGCCGGCAGAGCAGGAAGTGAAGAGAGAGAGGAGAGGGAAGTGGCTGCTTTTTTAAAGGGAGAGAGACCACGCCCCAATGGGCTGGTATCTCAGCGGCGATAGGCTGGAGGAGTGGGAGGACCTCCCGTAACAAGTTCTTTTTGTTATTTTTGTTGCTTGTTCTCCTATATTATTCCTTTTTTAATATTTATTTATTATGTATACAATATTCTGTCTGTGTGTATGCCTGCAGGCCAGAACAGGGCACCAGACCTCATTACAGATGGTTGTGAGCCACCGTGTGGTTGCTGGGAATTGAACTCAGGACCTTTGGAAGAGCAGGCTGTGCTCTTAACCGCTGAGCCATTTCTCCAGCCCCTCTTATATTATTCTTATGTTTCCCTCCTGTCTATCTTGATACCTTCCTTCAATGTTTCTTTCCACATCTTTCCTGTTGTTTTCTGTCTCTTGTGTCTATATTTTTTCTTGCACCTTATATACTCCAACAAAAATTTTCAAGTAATATAAAAATTACATGTGGTTATCTTCTATTTTTCAAGTGAATGACTACAAATAAAAAACAGCATGTTTTCCATACCGATTACATGACTAAATATATATTACAGATGAAAAATCACTTGTCCCAAGAACCCACATACATTTATACCCAAGCAACTTGTTAGAGATTAACAACGTGTAGACAAGCAAACTCTTCTCAGTCAGTTCTTTTACTGACAGGTCATATTGTGGTTCCAAGGAAAGGATCAATCACTTCATTATTTACCTTAAAAGGTAATTTTATAAAAAGTCTTGCCAGGTGGTGGTGGTGCATGCCTTTAATCCTAGCACTCGGGAGGCAGATGCAGGCAGATCTCAGTTCGAGGCCAGCCTGGTTTACAAGAGCTAGTTCCAGGAAAGGCTCCAAAAGCTACAGAGAAACCGTGTCTCGAAAAAAAAAAAAGTCTTAAGAGAATCATAAATCTAAGATTTTGTGTATGAAAATCAATTATTCAGGGTGGATACCCACTCATCAACAGTTTATGTTTATTAAATCATATCAGGAAACTGAGGATAGAAATAGGTAAAAGAAATTAATCATCACCAACACATCATAGTAAAAAAGTCATGGCAGCAGTAGTGGCCAGGCTACCATTGTTCCTGCTTCCTGACCTCAACAAGCCTTCGCTCAGCTATTAAAAGTAAAAATTGTTTTCCAAAGCAATTGGCAAAAACATCTTAACCTAACGTTAAGTCATTATTTAAAACTTTGTTTTAACTATGATGCATACCCAAACCTGTGAACATGCTCCCCAACATTAAAATTAAAAGAACTTGAGTTAGCCTATCTTCTGGGACTAAATTGTTTCTCAGTCTATATAGTGTATACATCTTATCAAGAGAAACTCATAACTCCCAGTTGTGTGACACTTCCTTGTTTTTATTTTCTATCCTCTGAAACCCCTGCTTTATCAGAAGCAGTACAGCTTAAGAGGAAATCATCTTCATATAATCAATAGGTAAAAAATGCTCAGTAGAATGGGATATTTCAATAAGAACCACACTACATTAAAGGCAATGGTGATCTCCTCGCACCATGCCAAATACCAGAGAAAAATGGCAGCAGCAAACATTCTGGGGCCAAAACCCCAGGGGCCTCGCCTATCCGAGATTCACCCATCAGTGCTTTGCTACTCATGGGTCAACATCCCCAACTGCAGTTGGCACCAGCTGTTCCTTTGATCTGGCCACCAGCGATAAATAAATAATTCAAAAAATTAGACATCAAGAAAACAACCTAAGTTGGGCAGTGGTGGCATACACCTTTAATCCCAGAACTAGGGAGGCAGAGGTAGATGGATCTCTGATTTTGAGGCCAGTCTGGTCTACAGAGCAAGTTACAGGAGAGTTGGGGCTATTTACACAGAGAAAACCTGTCTCAAAAACACCTAATTTAAAACTGGGGTAGGGCTCTAACCAGAATTCTCAAAGAGGAAACTCAAATGGCTGAGAAACACTTTTAAAAATGTTCAATATCCTTTGCCATCTGGGAAATACAAACCAAAACTGCTTTGTGATTTCATGGTATCATGAAGGTACATATGGTGCTGGAGGAGCAGCTGAGCGTCCTATATCTGTAGGCAACCGGAAGTTGACTGAGACACTAGTCAGTATTTTGAGCATAGGGGACGTCAAAGCCACCACCACAGTGACATGCTTCCTCCAACAAGGCTATATCCTCTACAACAAAACTACATCTCCTGATTGTACCATTTACTATGAGAATATGGGGGCTAATTGAAAGCAAACTACCACTCTCTACTCCCTGGTACCCATAAGCTTGCAACAATATCATGATTAAAAATGCATTTTGTACAACTTCAAATGTCCCCATAGTCTGTCACAGTCTCAACAATATTTAAAAGCCCAAAGTTCAAAATATCTTCTAAGATTTATGTAATCTCTTAACATCAATCACCTGTAAAATTCAAATAAAGTAGATCCCATACTTCTAACATATATTGGCACAGGATATGCATTCCTGTTCCAAAATGCAGGGTAGGGAGCATAGCAAGGAAATACTGGACCAATCAAAGACCAAAAGTCAGCTGGGCAAACTCCAAACTGCATCTCTATGTCTGATGTCAGAACACTTTGCAATTCTCCAACTCCTTTCAGCCTTGTTGATTGCAACACACTTCTTTCTCTTGAACTGGTTCTACTCCCCATCAACAGCCCTTATTGACAGGTATTGTGATGGCCAAATTTGAACTAAACTAAGACCACCCCTCTTATGCCCTCTCCATGACCCCAACTTCCTGAAACAGATTGAACTTCTCCCTGGGTATGACTGATGACAACTATTAACCACATGCCTTAACCATGCCTGATGCACTTTTTACGACCCTACCCTTCAACTGTGTACTTCCCTGCTCCCCATAGCCAATATGGTTAAATATCAACTACCCCAAGACCTTATGAGTAATGCCAAAGCTTGTGACTCCTACTTGTGGTTTTTTCCTCTATAAACACTACTCTAGAATACTCAGGACTGCACTCAGTCTCCTGAGTGTGGAGTCACTGCCCATGTTCAGATCTGCTTCAATAAATGCCCTGTTGTGTTTCTATTGGATTCTGGCTTCTGGTGATTGACTGGAGTCTCATGACATAACAAAACAGTATCCCACAACTCTGGCATCTCTTTAATTTCTTGGTTTCTCCAAGGCAATCCCTCACAGATTCACTCAATGGCCTCTCTAGGCCTCCATTCAGGGACACCCCTGATACATGTCTGGTCTCAACAGCTTTATTTAGGCACAGGGGCAAATTCTATACCCTGTTTCTATCCTTAATGCTAAGGCCAGGACCACATAGCCAAAGCTGCCAAGTTCTGCTGTCTATTGAGGCTGAACCATGACCCCACTATTCAATAACTTTTTTTTTTTTACCAGCTTTCTGTCCTGTGCTGCCTAAGCTTGACTCTCCTGAAACTTGCTCTGCAGAATAGGATGGCTTTAAACTCAGAGCTTCATCAGCCTCTTTCTTCTCAGTGCTGAGCTTAAAGATGTGCACACCACACCAAGCTCTCAGCTTTTTTTTTTTTTAGTTACTTTTCACAAATTGGAAACTTACTTGGGTGGTATTTTGCCCTGAGGTCACTGCTCAGTTTCTTCCATTTCTTAATCCATTTATTAATGTGAATACAGATTTTAGCTCCTTTTGTCTTTCTGGTGCTCCTTTTCTTTTCAAAATTTATATTCTGTAATTTACTCTGCTTAGTTTGCTCCTTTTCATTATGAATCTTCATTAGAGTTACTACTGATAACCACATAAGAGAGTCTATACTAGACTCTTTTGAGATATCTTCTGCCAACAGAACTGATCCAAATCCCTTCACTTTAGCGTCAGGCTGACTCTTTGAAAAAAAGAAAGAGCAGCCACTTCTTGACCAAAGTATCACAAGACCAGTCTCTAGGCCACATGATACAATCTCCTCTGAAACCTCTTGATCACTACAGTTCATCAAATCATGCCCAGTATCACTGTCTTCCATGCTCCTCCTTGAATGGCCCATTAGATACTGCTTAAAGTATTCTCTTGCTTTCCAAACCCAAAGTACCAAAGTCCAAACAAAAGCATGACCATGCCTGCCACAGCAATACCCCAGTTTCTGGTGCCACTGAGTTAGGACTTTTATTCCTGTGAAGAGATACCGTGACCAAATCAACTCTTATAAGTGAAAAATATATCATTGAGATAGCACCTTACAGTTTCAGAGGTTCAGTCCATTGCCATTAAGGCAGGAGCATGGAAGCATACAGGCAGAAGTGGTGCTGAAGGAGTAGCTGAAAGTGCTACATCTTGCAAGCAATGGGAAGCCAACTGAGAAACTGAGCAGTAGTATCCTCATCATTGGAAACCTCAAAGACTGCCCAAACAGTGACACACTTTCCCCAAGAAGGTCATACCTACTCCAACGAAGCCACACCTCCCAATATTGCCATTCCCTATGAGATTATGGCGGCAAACTACATTCAAACTACCATATCCTTACATCATTCAGAATGGCTAAGGTCAGTAAACAAATGACAGTTCTTACTAATGAGAATGTGGAATACTAATCCATTGCTGGTAGGAATATAAATTTGTACAGCCATTATGGAAATCAGTAGGGCAGTTCATAAGAGAAACAGGAAATGATCTATCTCAGGGTTCAGATATACCACTCTTAGGCCTATAACCAAAGGGTGCTTTATTCTACCACAGAGTCCTTGCTGGTCCATGTTTATTGCTGCTTTATTCAATGTAGTCAGTAATTGAAACAACCTAGATGCCTGTCAATAGATGAATGGATAAGGAAAAATATCAAACAATTAGACAGCAGAATATTATCTGCCATTATAAAAATGAAATCACAAAATTCATAGGTAAATGGGAGGAACTAGAAATAACTCAGTGCAGTATCTCAGACCAGAAAGTCAAATATTGTATGTATTTATTTATATGTAGATGTTATCAATTAAGTCATTGATAAGTGAGCTTTAAAAACAATGAGTATATAAAACAGTGATTAGGTAGAGATTAAGGTAATAAGGAGTGATGAACTTCCCTAGAAAGGGGAAATAGAATAGATAGTTATGGATGGATGATGGGAGGGGACAGAAATGGGAGGATCAAACAGGAAGAGGAAGGGGGAGAATAACAAAGGGAATCGTGTGGGACAGCTAAAACTCAGAAACACTTGAGAGGTCACCTGAAAACCTAATGCAGTAGAAGCTTCCCATTATTTATACATATATATAATGATGATCTAAATGTAGTTGACAAATAATAGGGAAGACAGAGTAACATATAAAGGGAAAGAATTACACTTGACTTCTCAATGGAAATCATGAAAGCCAAAAGGTCTTGAATAGATGTGCTGCAGACACTAAGAGACCATGGATGCAAGCCCAGACTACTATACCCAGCAAAGCTTGCATTCACCATTGATGGGAGAAAACAAGATATTCCAGGACAAAAACAGATTTAAACAATACATAGCCACAACCCAGTCATACAGAAAATACTAGAAGGAAAACCACAAACCAAGGAAGCCAACAACACCCATAATGACACAAGTATCTGACAACCCTCCACCAGCACAACTCAAAGAAGGGAAACACACAAACTCTACCACCAAAATAATAACCTGGGCTAACAACAACCGGTCACTAATATCACTTAATATCAATGGACTCAATTCACCTATAAAAAAGCACAGGCTAAGAGAATGGATATGAAAACAGGATCCAACATTCTGCTGTTTACAAGAAACACACCTCAACCTCAAAGACAGACACTACCTCAGAGTAAAGGGTTGGGAAAAGATTTTCCAATCAAATGGCCCAAAGAGACAAGTGGGTGTGGCTATATTAATATCTTAAAAAATTGATTTCAAACTAAAATCAATCAGAAGAGGTGGAGATGGATACTTTATACTCATAACAGGAACGTTTCATCAGGAGGAAGTCTCAATCCTGAATATCTACACCCAAAATATAAAAGCACCCACATATGTTAAAAAAAACATTACTAGCACTCAAAGCATACATCAAACCCCACACTCTAATAGGAGATTTCAACACTCCTCTATCACCAATGGACAGGTCAACCAGACAGAAACTTAGCAGAGAAAAAAGAGAACTAACAGATGTAATGAACCAAATAGCCTTAACAGGTATCTATAGAATTCCACCGAAAAAGAAAAGAATATACCTTCTTCTCAGCATCTCATGGAACCTTCTCAAAAATTGATCACATAATTGGTAACAAAGCAAACATCCATAGATACAAAGGAATTGTAGTAACCACCTGTGTACTATCGGATCATCATGGAATAAAGTTAGACTTCAACAAAAATTCTACCCCCAGAAAGCCTACAAACTCATGGAAACTGAACAGTCAACTACTGAAACACCCCTGAGTCAAGGAAGAAATAGATAAAGAATTTAAAGTCTTTCTTGAATCGAATGAAAATAAAGACACAACATACCCAAACCTATGGGACACTATGAAAACAGTGCTAAGAGGAAAGTTCATAGCACTAAGTGCCCACATAAAGAAAATGGAGAAAGCACACATTAGAGACTTAACAGCACAGCTGAAAACTCTAGAAAAGAAAAGAAGGAGACTCACCCAGGAGGAGTAGAAGACTCAAAATAATCAAACTGAGGGCTGAAATCAACAAAATAGAAACACAGAAAACAATCCAAAGAATCAATGAAACAAAAAGCTGGTTCTTGGAGAAAATCAACAAGATTGACAAACCCCTATCCAAACTAATCAAACAGCAGAGAGAGAACACACAAATTAATAAGATCAGAAATGAAAAGGGGGAACATAACCACAGACACAGAGAAAATTAAGAGAATCATTAGATATTACTACAAAAGCCTGTGTATGCCACAAAATTGGAAAATGTAAAAGAAATGGACATTTTTTAGATAAGTACAATATACCAAAATTAAATCAAGACCGGGTGAACAATTTAAATAGACCTATAAGTCGTGAGGAGTTAGAGAAGCTGTCATCAAAAACCTCCCTACCAAAAAAAGCCCAGGAGCAGATGGTTTAATCTCCAAAATATGTAAAGAACTCAAGAAACTAGACATTAAAACTCAAATTAACCCAATTAAAAAATGGGATAGTGAACTAAACAGAAAATTCTCAACAGAAGTTCAATGGTGGGAATGCAATCTTGTGCAACCACTTTGGAAATCAGTGTGGCAGTTTCTCAGGAAACTGGGAGTCAACCTACCTCAGGAACATGCAATTCCACTCTTGGGAATATCCCCAAGAGATGCCCAATCATACTACAATAGCATTTGTTCTACTATGTTCATAGCAGGACTATTTGTAATAGCCAGAACCTGGAAACAACCTAGGTGCCCCTCAATAGAAGAATAGATAAAGTGTGGAATATATGCACTTTAGACTTCTACTCAGCGGTAAAAAACAATGACATCTTGAATTTTGCATGCAAAGGGATGGGAATAGAAAACACTTTACTGAGTGAGATATTCCAGACCCAAAAAGAGGAATATGGTATGTACTCACTCATAAGTGGATTCTAGCCATAAACAAAGGACATTGAACCTATAATTCGTGATCCTAGAGAAGCTAAATAAGAAGGTGAACCCAAAGAAAAACATATATTTATCCTCCTGGATATTGGAAGTAGACCAGATCGCCAGGCAAAAGTTGGGAGCCGGGTGGTGGTGGTGGGTTGGGATGAAGGGGAGATGGGGAGAGAGAAGGGAAAAGGAACGAATTGGGGAGAGCTAGGGGAAATGGGATGGTTGAGATGGAGGAAGAGTGGAGATGGGAGCAGGGAGGAAGATATCTTAACTAAGGGAGCCATTTTAGGTTTGGCAAGAGACTTGGCTCTAGAGGGGTTCCCAGGTTTCCAAGGGGATTTCCCTAGCAAGGTTCATGGGCAGCAAAAGAGGGGGTGCCTGAACTGGCCGCACTGATGAATATCTTGCATATCACCATAGATCCTTCATTTGTCGATGGATGGAGATAGAGACAGAGACCCACATGGAAGCACTAGACTGAGCTCCCAAGGCCCAGATGAAGAGCAGAAGGAGGGAGAACATGAGCAAGGAAGTCATGACCATGAGGGGTTGGTCCATCCACGGAGACGGTGGGACTGATCTAATGGGAGCTCACCAAGGGCAGATGGACTGGGACTGAATGAGCATGAGATCAAACTGGACTCTCTGAATGTGGCTGTCAATGAGGACAGACTGAGATGCCAATGATAATGACACCAGATTCTACTGCATGTACTGGCTTTTATGGGATCCTAATCTGTTTGGATGCACATCTTCCTAGACCTGGATGGGGGGGGGGCTTGGACTTCCCACAGGGCAGGGCACCCTGACTTCTCTTAGGACTGGAGAATGAAAGTGAGGGGGAATAGAGGGAGTGGGAGGGAAATGGGAGGATGGGAGGAGGTGGAAATTTTTAATAAATAATTAAATAAATAAATAAACTCATAAGGATGCTCCCAAAAAACCCTCAATAAACTAGACATCAAATTATAAAATAATCTAATAAAATGTGTAGAGATCTAAACAGAGACAGCTCATCACATTATCAGAGGTCATGTCCTTTTACATGTCTATGTTTAAATGTACTAAGTTCAAAAGTAGAATTTTATTTCTGTTTACCTCATCAAATGCTAAGTAAATCTTACAACCAAGTAGAGAAAGTCTTACACTACTGTCGGAAACCAGCCTCAACAAAAGTTCCACTTGCCAGGATAGGGGTATGTGGTTTTAGAAAAAATTTGTTAAGTATACAAAGATGTTTTTTAAAATAATAAAACATAGAATAGTACTGGGAGGGAGTTCCAATAAATACTGAAATTGCCTGCATATAATTTCCAATTGCTTGAAATACTCCTGGCCCCAAAAGAAAGGAGTAAGATTAAAAAAAAAACCTGCATTAGCATGATACACGAAAATAAATAGAACAGTTGAGGTTCATGGGCTACATCCATAGTTAAACATTCTGTTGCTAGAACAAAACAAGTCTTGCTCACACCCTAGCCCAAAACATTCTAAAGGCAAACCACTCCCTGGATGGAATCCAATGTTACCTCCTTAAAAGAAATGGAACCTTAGTTGAACCCTTACACTTTTGTTTGAGGTAGAAACATGTCTATCTCTATTCCTGAAATACAAAGTGTGGCTATTAGCCACACCTGTGGACAATAACCTTGAAGAAAGCAGAACTCTTTGACCTAAATCTAGGTGGGACCTTTGTTTTAAATAGAAATACAATAACCTTGAAGGAATAGAAGTATGTTTCAACTTTCTGACTTGAGGTAAATGTGGAAACAAGCTCATATTTTTGTGACTTCGTGCCCTATTTTTGTTCTGCTTTTACTGCAGTCCATATCCATCCACTGAAAGAGACTCATCTGCTCACACTCATCAATGCACCCTCACAGTGGCAATGCAGGTTCTAGAAGGCAAGCGAAACAGTAGAGTTGGAAAATGGTATAAGGCGGTTTGGATGCTCACCTTAGTAGACCTGGATGGAGGTGGGGGGTTCCCTGGACTTCCCACAAGGCAGGGAACCCTGATTGCTTTTCGGGCTGAGGAGTGGGGGGTGACTTAATTTGGGAAGGGGGAGGGAAATGGGAGGTGGTGGCGGGGAAGAGACAGAAATCTTTAATAAATAAATAAATTAAAAAATAAAAAAAGAAGAATTTATGAGTAACTAACCTGTAAAGTTTCCTGATGTTGGTCCTGAGAAAATTCCATCTTGATCAATATGTAAATTTTAATAAAAGCTTGCTTAAATTCAGGCAATAAAAAAAGAAAAAAATATGCATTGAGCCCATGGTCAATTCACAGTATCCATTTCCTTTGTAGATTTTCAACAAAACATATTCACAACAACTATAAGAATCTAAAATGATGATATTCGAGATAATCATCAGTGTGATAGTGGGGCAAGGCCAGTTCAGGTACCCTCTACTCTGCTGCCCAAGGACCTAGCTGGGTACATCCCCATGGACACCTGGGATCCCCTCAAGAGCCAAGTCTCTTGCCAACCCTAAAATGGCTCCCTTAATGTAGATATCTTCTTCCCTGCTCCTGTATCCACCCTTCCTTCATCTCCACCCTCCTACTCCCCCAAGCACTCTCCAGTCTTTCCCTTTTCCCTTCTCTCTCCCCCTTTCTTCTTCCCCCACCTCCAGCCCCACCCCACCCCCATGCACCCAACTTTTGCCCAGCAATCTTGTTCACTTCCAATTTTCAAAAGGATCTATATATGTTTTTCTTTGGGTTCACCTTGTTATTTAACTTTTCTAGGTTTGTGGACTATAGGCTTAATGTCCTTTGTTTATAGCTAGAGTCCACTAATGAGTGAGTACATACCATATTCATCTTTTTGGGTCTGGGTTATCTCACTCAGTAAAGTGTTTTCTATTTCCATCCATTTGCATGCAAAATTCAAAATGTCATTATTTTTACTGCTGAGTAATACACTAATGTATATATATTCCACACTTTCTTTATCCATTCTTCCATTGAGGGGCATCTAGGTTGTTTCCAGGATCTGGCAATTACAAATAATGCTGCTTATGAACATAGTTAAACAAAAGCTTTTGTAGTATGATTGGGCATCTCTTGGGTATATTCCCAAGAGCGGTATTGCTGGATCCTGAGATGGATTGTCTGGCAACGGATGGAGATAGAGACAAAGTGCCTCATCAGAGCAACAGACTGAGCCCCCAAGGTCCAGTTGAAGAGCAGAAAGAGGGAGAAGATGAGCGAGGAAGTCTGGACTGCAAGGGGTTGGTCCACCCACTGAGACAGTGTGCCTCTTCTAATGGGAGCTCACCAAATCCAGCCTACTGGGACTGAATGAGCATGCGTTCAAACCAGACTCTCTGAATGTGGCTGAAAATGGGGGCTGATTGAGAAGCAATTGATAAAGGCACTGGGACTTGTTTCTACTGCATGTATTGGCTTTTGGGAACCTTAGTCTATTTGGATTCAAAGCTTCCTAGGCCTGGATGGGGTGGAGGCTTGGACTTCCCACAGGGCAGGGTTCCCTGCCCTCTCTTAAGGAGGGAGGGGGAGGGGAATGGGAAGAGAGAAGGAAGTGTAAATTTTTGAATGGAAAAATAAAAATAAAATCTAAAATGAGAAAAACACTGTATGAAGTCACAAATAAAGCAGAAGAAATTGGTCAAATGACTAATTAATCTATGAAAACTAAGGCTCATGGAGGGAAATAATGAAAGGGATTATGCTTAGACATGATATATTTGCCTTATCTTCTACTTAATATTTGTGTTTGGAGGAGCAGTGAGAGATATTATTGAGTGTTTGAAATGTAGGACACAGAATCTGAAGGGATATTATTGAATATTCAAAAACATTTTGTAATGCTATAAACCTAACTGATTCTGTGGTGATTTGTACAATGGTAGAACAGCAGGATTCAGAAAAAATAGAATTGAGGCTGATTATTGTTCTCAAGATGATGGAAGCACAGTTATTGGTTAGATATTCTGTTAATGTCAGTCATGTAGTACAAGCCCCACTGTGCGAGCTGTGTGAAACTCAGTTTCTCTAACCATGGAACTGTTGTTCCCTGACAGAGAGTTTGTGAAAGAATTCCCAGTGTGCAACTAGAAATTTCGACTTCGTGTGTCCTTCCTGAAACATTGCTGCATATCTCAATTTTGATCATCTAACAAAATACACTGACATCATTTCTAAAGGCATTAACATAAAAAGATTGTTCTGGCAGTCACGGCCCCAAATTTTTCTCAAAATAACATTCCCCAGGGAGCCTTAATTTCCACAAAATTAAATGATGTCATGAAACTACCTGAATTATCCCCATATATACTTCTGAACCAAATTTGGATTACATGTATATTAGGTGCACAGCCGCAGGGGAAAAAAAGTGCCCAAGATTCCCCAAAGGCGAGGAATCAACAGGGAAATAAAGGAATCATGAATACACAAACAGCCTCTGCTTTGGCTGCAGAAATAAAAGCAGGTGGGAAATATGGGTGCCCATATAATGTGCTGATCTGAAGAGCACTTCACCACACACACTGCCCAGGCTTCAAGAGGGACAAAAACGTTTGCTTTGATTTTTCTCTTCTTTTTCCTGAACATTCCACTTGAGTCCAGGTTCACTCAACCCTGGTGCTTTTGGAGAATGAATGAGAATAAAGAAACAGATGAAGATTTGATGACAGGTTGTGTCTTCTTCCTTATGACAGAGCAGTGGCCTGTGGAGATAGATTATGTCAACCACATTCTGAATATACAGTAAGTTTATTTAAATTTTCTATGTAAATGTCAACATAAATATGTCATAGGAGATCAGAAAATGAAAATCAGAAAAATGTTTAGAATCTTTTGTTCTGTTACTTCAATTTGCACACCTAAGGAAAAAAAGCCCATGTTCTTTGAGACCCATTGCTGTTTTTTTTTTAATTTTTAGTTTGTACAGGGGGTGTAATATTATTTTCCTAGTTACCCTCCTACTTATAAGACTTGAAGCTGAGGGAAAAGGAGACTGTGTAACATTGTTCACCACGTATATCTTTGCTTTTGACTGTTTCCACAACTGAGTAACCAGTAATATCTTATCGAAAGAAACCCCATAGTAGTCAATAAATAGCATGCCAAATGGAACAACTAAACTGATGTTGATTAGATAGTGTGATGACTTTGCAGCTTCAAATGCGTCTCCCACAGCAACTAATATGTGTGACAACCCTAGATGAAGAGTTTTTACATAGATATTCAGACATATTGTGTCTCTAATTCTGCATAAAGAATGAAAACAAGAGACTTGCCCGCTGTTAAATTCTTATATGATTCTGTTTCTCCATCCTTCACTTATGTACAACCATAGGCCTTTATTTCCACAGTACAGTTCTTCACTGTCTCTTTAAAGTAAACCAAGAATATTTGTAGTACAAATGATATGTTTGCATTCTTTGAAATATGAGGTGTCACTAATAATGGTGACTACTTACTTTCCTAGCACTTGCCTGAGTGGCAGCTGCAGCATATGATATTTGACAACACTTGGGAATTGTGATCTACCAGTTCTTTGCTATTATTAAAGAAGCACGTGTCTCTTTTCTATAAGTCCAAACTGTTTACTCACTGTCAACAATAGCTTAATTATGTCTTATTGTTACTCTTCAATAATTTTACTTATTGTAGCTTTGTCTTTTACCACTTTGAACACTATGCACTTTTGATTTTGTGTATCATTGATAGCTCTCATCAAATTTAGCACTTTAGATCACTATGCCACAACAAGAGCTCAAATCGTTGACGTTTCTTGATATTTAGTGTGCAGAAGTTAGTGTTTCACTTCCATAAGTTCTTATTTCAAATGTAGACAAAAGTTTCTCTCTACAGGATGGTGTATGTTGTTCAGATATACCTGGTATAATTATCCTTAATCTCTGCATTTATTAAATGGAGTAGTTATATCATTCTGCATTGGAGGCCAGTGGCAACTAAAGACAAGTGTTACTGAAAACAATGAAATCCATTCCCTTTTTATGGTCTATATGAGTATTTCTCATGTCCATACCCACAGATGAATTTATTTTCCAACTATTCTGGTATATAAATTTATTAAAAATTAAATATTTAAAGAACATTTTGTGTTTTTAATCAATAAAGAAAAAATACAAGATGGTAATGATAGACATGAGAGAATATGTTAACTATATTGTCCAGTAAATATGAAAGAATTAGTAGTACAGGAGCCAAATTTTCCCCCCGAAGACTACTGTGCACAGTCATTGTTTTTTTTAAATTTATTTATTTATTAAAGATTTCTGTCTCTTCCCCACCACCTCCTCCAATCAAGTCCCTGTCCCTCGTCAGCCCAAAGAGCAATCAGGGTTCCCTGCCCTGTGGGAAGTCCAAGGAACCCCCACTTCCATCCAAGTCTAGTAAGGTGAGCATCCAAACTGCCTAGGCTCCCACAAAGCCAGTACGTGCAGTAGGATCAAAAACCCCTTGCCATTGTTCTTGAGTTCTCAGTAGTCCTCATTGTCTGCTATGTTCAGCGAGTCTGGTTTTATCCCATGCTTTTTCAGACCCAGGCCAGCTGGCCTTGGTGAGTTCCCGATAGAACATCCCCATTGTCTCAGTGTGCGGGTGCACCCCTCGCAGTCCTAATTTCCTTGCTCATGCTCTCTCTCTTTCTGCTCCTGATTTGGACCTTGAGATTTCTGTGCGGTGCTCCAATGTGGGTCTCTGTCTCTGTCTCCTTTCATCGCCTGAAGAAGGTTAATATTCAGGAGGATGCCTATATGATTTTCTTTGGATTCACCTTCTTATTTAGCTTCTCTAGGATCGCGAATTATAGGCTCAATGTCCTTTATTTATGGCTAGAAACCAAAAATGAGTGAATACATCCCATGTTCCTCTTCTTTGGTCTGACTTACCTCACTCAGGATAGTGTTTTCTATTTCCATCCATTTGTACCCAAAATTCAAGAAGTCCTTGTTTTTTACTGCTGAGTAATACTCTAATATGTATATATTCCATACTTTCTTCATCCATTCTTCCATTGAAGGGCATTTAGGTTGTTTCCAGGTTCTGGATATTACAAACAATGCTGCTATGAACATAGTTGAGCATATACTTTTGTTGTATGATAGGGCATCTCTTAGGTATATTCCCAAGAGTGGTATTGCTGGGTCCAGGGGTAGGTTGATCCCGAATTTCCTGAGAAACCGCCACACTGCTTTCCAGAGTGGTTGCACAAGTTTGCATTCCCACCAGCAATGGATGAGTGTTCTTGTTACTCCACATCCTCTCCAGCAAAGGCTATCATTGGTGTTTTTGTATTTAGCCATTCTGACAGATGTAAGATGATATCTCAAAGTTGTTTTGATTTGCATTTCCCTGATCACTCAGGAGGTTGAGCATGACCTTAAGTGTCTTTTGGCCATTTGAACTTCTTCTGTTGAGAATTCTCTGTTCAGTTCAGTGCCCCATTTTTTAATTGGGTTAATTAGCATTTTAAAGTCTATCTTCTTGAGTTCTTTATATATTTTGGAAATCAGACCTTTATCTGCTGCGGGGTTGCTGAAGATCTTCTCCCAGTCAGTAGGTTGCTTTTTTGTCTTAGTGACAGTGTCCTTTGCTTTACAAAAGCGTCTCAGTTTTAGGAGGTCCCATTTATTCAATGTTGTCCTTATTGTCTGTGCTACTGGGGCTGTACGTAGCAAGTGGTCTCCTGTGCCCATGTGTTGTAGAGTACTTCCCACTTTCTCTTCTATCAGGTTCAGTGTGTTCAGATTGATATTGAGGTCTTTAATCCATTTGTACTTGAGTTTTTTGCATGGTGATAGATATGGATCTATTTTTATTCTTCTAAAATTGACATCCAGTTATGGCAGCACCATTTGTTGAAGGTGCTTTCTTTCTTCCATTGTATACTTTTAGCTCTTTTATCGATAATTGGGTGTTCATAGGTTTGTGGGTTAAAATACGGGTCTTTCTTTCGATTCCATTGGTCAACATCTCTGTTTTTGTGCCAATACCAAGCTGTTTTCATTACTGTAGCTCTGTAATAGAGTTTGATAATGCCGCTGAAAGTACCTTATTTTATAGGATTGTTTTGGCTATCTTGGGTTTATTGTTTTTCCATATAAAGTTTATTATTGTTCTCTCAAGATCTGTGAAGAATTTTGTTGAGATTTTAATGGGGATTGCATTGAATTTATAGATTGCCTGTGGTAGAATTGCCATTTTTACTAAGTTCATCCTACCCATCCAAGAGCATGGGAGATCTTTCCATTTTCTGGTGTTCTCTTCAATTTCTTTCTTCAATGTCTTAAAGTTCATGTCAAATAGATGTTTCACTTCTTTGATTAGAGTTACCCCAAGATACTTTATGCTATTTGTGGCTATTGTGAAAGGTGATGTTTCTCTGATTTCCCACTCTGCTTCTCTATCTTTTGTGTATAGGAGGGCTACTGATTTTTTTTTAGTTGATCTTGTATCCTGCCATGTTACTATAGGTGTTTATCAGCTGTAGGAGTTCTTTGGTGGAGTTTTTGGGGTCGCTTATGTACACTATCATATCATCTGCAAATAATGAACGTTTGACTTCTTTTTTTCCAATTCGAATCCCCTTGATCTCCTTATGCTGTCTTATTGCTATTGCTAGAACTTTAAGTACTATATTGAAGAGGTATGGAGAGAGTGGACAGCCTTGAATTGTTCCTGATTTTAGTGGGATGGCTTTGAGTTTCTCTCCATTTAATTTTATGTTAGCTGTCAGCTCTCTGTATATTGCTTTTATTATATTGCGGAATGAACCTTGCATCCCTAGTCTCTCCAAGACCTTTATCATAAAGGGGTGTTGAATTATGTCAAATGTTTTTTCAGCATCTAATGAATGATCATATGGATTTTTTTCAGTTTATTTATATGAGGGATTACATTGATAGATTTTCGTCTGTTGAAGCAGCCCTGTCTCTCTGGGATGAAGCCTACTTGATCATAATGTGTAATTTTTTTGATGTGTTCTTGGATTCGGTTTGTCAGTATTTTATTGAGAATTTTTGCATCCATGTTCATGGGTGAGATTGGCCTATAATTCTCTTTCTTGGTTAAGTCTTTGTGTGTTTTCGGTATCAGGGTGACTGTAGCTTCATAAAAGGAGTTTGGCAATGACTCTTCTGTTTCTATTATGTGAAACACATTTAGGAGTATAGGCATTAGGTCTTCTTGGAAGTTCTGATAGAATTCTGCATTGAAACTATCTGGTCCAGGGCTTTTTTTGGTAGGGAGTTTTCTGATGACAGCTTCTCTAATTCCTCACGACTTAGAGGTCTATTTAAATTGTTCACCTGGTCTTGATTTAATTTTGGTAAATGATACTTATCTAAAAGTGTCCATTTCGTTAAAATTTTCCAATTTTGTGGCATATAGGCTTTTGTAGAAGGATATAATAATTCTCTGAATTTCTTCTGCGTCTGTGGTTTTGTCCCCTTTTTCATTTCTGATCTTGTTAATTTGCATGTTCTCTCTCTGCCATTTGATCAGTTTGGATAGGGGTTTGTCAATCTTGTTGATTTTCTCCAGGAACCAGCTTTTTGTTTCATTGATCTTTGGATTGTTTTCTGTGTTTCTATTTTGTTGATTTCAGCCCTCAGTTTGATTATTTTGAGTCTTCTACTCCTCCTGGGTGAGTCTCCTTCTTTTCTTTTCTAGAGTTTTCAGCTGTGCTGTTAAGTCTCTAATGTGTGCTTTCTCCATTTTTTTATGTGGGCACTTAC